TCCTTTACTGCCCTCACGCATGAGCTTTTGGATTTTGCAATCGATCATTGAACTTTGCTTGCGAAAACTAGAGCAAGACCCAAATTTCTTCTTCAAAGCTTTCGAGTCTTTGACAGCCAATGCGCTGCTGCGTATTTAAGTCTACACACGTACACACATACATATCTTTCTATGTATATGTGCATACATATGTAATTGTATGCACAGAAGCTTTTTATATTGTGTTATCGGCTTCCCTCTCTTTTGCTCTTACTCTCTGATTGCTGTAACGCTTTCTTTCTTGTTTGCTGCGATTGCCATTGTCGCTTATATCAAATGATTTCTGCCGTTCTCTTGTCGTGTGATAAAATGAAACCAAACCGATTTTGGAGGTGCCTGATAAGCGCGCATAGTAAACATATTTGAAAGTATGAAATGTAAATAGCACAAAGAACAAGTGCATACATACATATACGTACATAATACAGACATACATAAATTGTGTCACAACATATTCAAACATACACATAGAGATGTACGTATGTATGTTAATATATTTGTGTAAAAATATTAGTTAACTTAAGTTTTAGGGTGGGGGGGATGGAATTTATTGTCTGTCTAGAACAGTCGAACGGAGTACCAACACCCCCTCGCCCATGGGCAGCGATCGTATGAACTTCGCGTGAAACTTTTAACCCAAACTGTTTAGTTCAGATTTCTGGTTCATTTTGGCAAAATGACGGCGACAGAAGATAAGAGAGAGCGTCAGCAAGTGTGTGTGTTTGTTTGTGTGTGAGTGAGTAGCTGGCTGCGTGTGCGTCTGCGGCAAGTTCATTCACATTTGCACTCATTACGCGGCCAAAGCCAAAACCAACGTCGACGCCGACGCTGACGTCGACATCGACGCAGCTGCTCTTGAAATTGAAACTTTTGTGGCCAGACGAAAGCTACAAGCAGCGCCTCTCTCAATTCGCCCTCTGCAGCGACCCATATTAAGGCTAATGCCCATGCACATGCATTGATATTTGTTTTCACAAAATTCTTTAGGCTTGCAGGTGACAAAATGATTTCGTGGCTTAATAACAACAATTATCGCACGCCATTAGCAACGTTTTGTATGTCATGCAATAGGCGCAGCGAGTAACTGTAACTCTGCTGAATGCATAATCCGAATAGCGAATAATCACAGTGTCCATCTGGACTCCTACGACCCACCCTTTGTTCTGCAACGTGCCAACAACGTACCAGGTAAATTGCGAAATGTTTTCATTTTGCGCTCCTAACGTGTACGCCCCGCTTGCCGCCTTTTAACGCCATCACCTGTTCAGTAGGCCAGTCGGAAATCGCTTCGAACATGCTGTCACGTTTGCCGTTTGGCCGATTCACGTTTTTTCAACAGTACAGCTGCCTTCGCAACGTGTCGCGTCGCAAACAGGTTGGAACATGTCGCATGTGTCGATGATTCGGGGACAGCGTAACGCTGCTCTAAAGGATAGACCAGCAGCAGGACTATGGATGGGGCGAAGTTGTTGATTTGATTTTTCACGTTGTAAAGCCAGCTCCCACACACAATTCTTTAGAAAATACACGTGTGCTCTTTGGTAAGAGCCCGCCTTTTGGTATTATTAGTAATCATTTTTTATTTTTTGTATTACGTATTAAATATTAACAAATAATGGAATCAAGCAAAAGTGCATCAGAAATCGGACAAGGGTAGAAATTGCATTTTTGTCAATACATGCATTTATTTTGCATTTACAACAACTCAGAATATTACATAATTCCCCGCTCGCTGAGTGACACAACAGAGAACACGAGTATATAAAAAAAAAAAACAAATGACTCATAAATGTTAATTAGTATTTGTGAGTTGAACAGGAGAAATCAAAGTCATAGAACAATGAAATGAATATGAATATGAGTATGAGTATGACTATGAATATGAATATGAATATGAATATGAATATGAATATGAATATGAGTATGAGTATGACTATGACTATAAATATGAATATGAATATGAATATGACTATGAATATGAATATGAATGTGAATATGAATATGAATATGAATATGAATATGAGTATGAATATGAATACGAATATGAGTATGAATATGAATATGAATATGAATATGAATATGAATATGAATATGAATATGAATATGAATATGAATATGAATATGAATATGAATATGAATATGAATATGAATATGAATATGAATATGAATATGAGTATGAATATGAATATGAATAAAAATAAGAATATAAATATGAATATGAATATGAATATGAATATTAGTATGAATATTGCATGAATATGGATATGAATAAGAATAAGAATACAAATAAAAATAAGAATATAAAGAATATGAATATGAATATGAATATAAATTCGAATAAGAAATAAGAATAAGAATTGTAACAATTGGAAATCATGCGCACAAAGTTGGCGACTCGCACATTTCCATCGCGGACTCAAAGTCGCGAACACGTGAGCCACTGTCGCGGGAGCGTTGCACTGTCGACTGCACATTTCGCGACACGTGATCAGCGCCAGCGCCCGGCAAGTATCAAGTATAAATAGCCCGTCGTCAGCCTTAGGAGGCGTGGTGGCAGCGCTGCGTCAAGGCGAAAGAGGGGCGCAAAGCGTGCCGGGGGGCTGGCTAAGCTGTGTAGCTGGCGACAGCTTATATTACGTTTGCTGCTGCTGCTGCTGCTGCTGCTGCTCTGACGACTTCGACGCCAATGACGACGGCTCTGTTTCGTAACAGTCCGGCGTATTTGCACTAACATTATCTCACTCTAATATGTGCATACATAAGCACATGTACAGATGTATGTGTGTATGCACATATGTACTAAGCCATGCACCTGCGCTATAACCTAAAAGCAAATTTTCATACCTATTCGCATTTACATTCATTATATCATTCTGTACGCAATTAACTGCAAGCATTCTATCTTTGCATTTGAATATTGCTTAAATATACAGATTTTATAATGCTGCATCCTGAACGGAAGCGGTTCGGATCACGTGTACCTGTCGCTAGAGCCGGAGCTCGAGTCGGGTTCATATTCATATTCATATTCATAAACATATTCATAATCAGATTCATATTCATATTTATATTTATATTCATATTCAGATTCATATTCATATTCATATTCATATTCATATTCAAATTCGCATTCATATTCACATTCATATTCGTATTCATATTCATATTCATATTCACATTCATATTCATAGTCATAGTCATATTCATATTCATAATCATATTCTTACTCATACTCATACTCATACTCATACTCATACTCATATTCATATTAATATTCATATTCATATTCATACTCATACTCATACTCATACTCATACTCATACTCATTCATATACTCTTACTCATACTCAAACCCATACTCATACTCATACTCATATCCATATTCATATTCATATTCATTGCCCGGCTTTGATAATTTTGTAATAAAGCGTATTATTTCGTATCAATTCCCGAATAATAGATTGTTTATAATTACGCAAGTAACTGTCAATGTCAAAAAAAAAGATTATATATGTAATATAATACATGGATGAAAATGCCATGTATATGGAATCCGAAGAACTGATTAAATGATTTATCAATGCGAGTTTTACAATAAAAAAAAAATTACAAATTTAGCTCTGGCTTGCATTATTATCGCTTATGTAACTGTAGACTTATATGGGAATTGTTAATTAGTTATTATTATAAAAAATGTTGTTGCAATTGTTTTGCGCACAATCTATATTCTTTACATATTTACATACATTGTAATTGAAATATAATGCAAATGTACAAAAGGGAACATTTAATTGGATTTTCTTCATCAGGCTTATTTTCTTATTGGAAACGCAAGCCCATTTTAATAAGAAAGGGGCGCCAGGATTTGTTATATAAAGTCTTAGGTTTAAATTCTATATAAAAGATCTAATCGAAAGTTGATTTGAGAAAGGTGTTAATTGTGTCAAATTCAGGCTCAAATTCATTGCCAAGGATCCTTAAAAAAGTTCATTTCAGAATGGTTTCTGCTTTAAAATTTTAATGAATCAGAGATCTGGATCATGGCTAGAAAAAAAATCGAACGAAAAAAGAGGCTTTGCATTTTGTTTCCAAGATAACTTCATCAAACTTAGAATCATTCATCAAACTCCGAATCATTCATCAAACTCAGCATCATTGTATTAGGTTATGCAAATGATTATGGATAGGTAAAGATACAGGACCTATTTTATTGAATAGCCTTATAGACAGATACTGTATCTACGATTGTTTCACTTCACCGTTAATCACTGTTTAGCGGTAACTGTTAAATTATTAAAGATGTAAGCACTTAAATTAGTTAAAGCATCCTTAGATAGGCACCCTTCCAGACGACCTTCCAGCCAGGTTTATCCGTGGGCGTTCTGTGCAAGACGCTTGCGTCACCACAAAACATTTTGCACATGAAAACACATGTGTAAATACAAAAAAAAACAAGAATACACATACATGTGCATATGTGTATGTGGATGTGGATTGAATGCGGTGTGCCCAGTTGAATGCAACGCAATATCCTAATAAAACACCTTCCGCCCTTATCACTGCCATTGTCACTTACCTCACCGCTGATAGCCCACAGACGCAGTCACGTTCTAGTTTTCAAATGTACAGCTCAAAATGATTTCTGATTGCCGCTGATTACTCAACCATGGAATGTACATACATACGTACGTATGGCAATGTGATCGGTTGCAACTGGCAGCGCGCAACAGGCAGGCAGGTAGGCGGCGTTCATAAGAGTATAATCAGATTGCGAACCGTTAAATTTCACTTTTACCAATGGCGCACAGTTCTGGTTGTTAGCTTCGAACATGTTGGCATATGTTCGATGTTCGAAGGCAGTCGCGTGTCGCTACTGCGTGCAGCGGCAACGTGACCAGGCTCCGATTGGACTGCGGCTGTTGAGTGAAATGCTTTTACAAATTCAATTGCGATTCAGCATTCGTTCGAAGCGGTTGTGGATGCGCTTGCGAGCCGCGTTATATATTTTGTGAATGGAGTGCAATCTAATTCCAGACAGTAAAATCTAAACAACCGTTACAAGTGTTTGGGACATGCAAAAATTTTAAAAATATCAATAAATAAAAAAATAAACGAGAATTTATCTACAATTCAAGTGCATGCACATATAAAAACTTATTCTGAAATTACTAATAAACATTCAAGTGCACATGCATCAGCGTGTTTGTCTTCGATCGAATTGCAAATCTGAATGTTAATGCTAATGTTAAATCAACAGTGCAACTACATGAACAATGCTTGGATAATTATATGTGATCGGGCACTTAAAACATTATGTCGATAGAAACCCCGTCGTTGGAGCGTAAAGTGAACTTTTTTCAAGAGACTGCAACAACTAAAAGTTTGTTTATATTTAAAAACAACAACAACAACATTAACAACATCATCGTCCAGAACAAAAACTTTACCAATAAACTGTACAGCAAGACAACAAATAATAATAACAAAAGCAACAGCAACAGCTTCAACAGTCTACATACGCAGTGCACTACTGTATCAGCAACAAATATTAAAGCTAGATGTAAGTGCAACAATAACAACATTCAGAATTTCTGATTGTTAATTTAAAACGCAAAACAAAACCCATGAAAAGTAGAATGACACAGAGAGAAAGAGAGAGTGAGAGAGCGCGCAGCAGCAGCGCGCTTAGTCATGTTGTTTTTGTGAATTTCGACACAGGCAGCGGCAGCAGCAGCGGCAGCAACAGCGGCAGCGGCGCAGCGATTGCAGCGAACTGTTGTCGTCGTCTGTTGCTTTTATTTGTACCAATGTGGCGGCTGCTGCTGTCGGCGTAGGAGTCGTAGGGGTTGCCGGCGGCTACGACGTTGGCAGCGTCTGGCTGCTGACGTGAGTAGCCAGTTTATAGAAACGATTATGAATGTATGTGTGCGTGTGTGTGTGTGTGTGTGTGTGCGCGCGTGTGTATGTGTGTGTGTGTTGTAGCACGTTGAACTGCAAATGCCAATTTGATGGTCACGGTGAGGGTGAGGTGACAACAACAACAACAAAAACAGAATACCGACCAATCCGTGTGATTTCTTGTTTACGTTGCCATTTTCGTTTGCATGTATGTGTGTGTGTGTGTGTGTGTCGATGTGCATGCGAGTGAGTGTATACGTGTACTTGTTGTTGTGTGTTCTTTGTGCTGGTGCTGTCGTCTAATTCACTGATTCTTGCATCATTTGCCGTAATCATTGTGTAAATGGCTGGCCGCCTTAAAAATGAAAGCTCGTGTGCATACGGTACACGTATCTACATACATACATACACAATACGTGTATGTATGTATGTATGTTTATTCATGCAATTGTATGCATGTACAAAATTATAATATGTATGCATGTGTGTATGTGAGGAAAAGACAAGGCCAAGGACCAGATAAACAGTGACTGAGCAGGCGTATGTATGTGTGTATGTATGTATATACGTTTGTTGGTATTGTATGCAAAATACACCCACATACATGCATACAAATATGTAGTGTATGTTGTAAATGTTTGTTTGGCCAAACAAGCTCATATTAAAATGTGTTCACAATAAATAATTCATACAATTAAATATATATTTTATATATAAAAATAACTTTATATATATATATATATAGTTAACTAATATTATATGTATATATAATTAACTTAATTATATTAAAGCTGATCTTGAATTTCCTTTACAGTTAGACATACAGGGCAGAAGCTTCAGCTTCAGCTGCTGCAGCAAGAAGAACAAGAGCGCCTGAGAGACAGCGTAAGCAGCCAATTAGCGCAGCTGCTACCGCTTAAGCAGGAGCAGGAGCAGGAACTGCGGGTGGTCACGACGCCGACCGCAATGCCCGAGGTGCTCGCCGGGACACCCACACAATCGCAGAACAAAGCATCTGCTGTCGCGGCATCCGTATCCGTATCCATGATGAGCAGTGTGCGCTTGGCAACCATTTCACCCAGTCTGTCAATGAACGGCAGCTCCAACGAAGCCACAAATTGTAAGTAGATTCGGTATAATGAACTCTTGCGACTGATTATGATTTGATTTATCTATGCTGCAGTGCATCCCCTGTCCATGTACGGCGGCTCAATAAGCCCACAGTCAAACGATAGCGGCATGTCGGACGGCCACTCGCACAGCCTGAGCAAGTTCGTGCCGGGCAACGGCTATGCGGACAGCCATGGCCACAGTTTGATGAGTAAGTCGTCCGGACAGAGCAGCGCCGTGGGTGAGGCACAGTCCACACTGACGGCCGCCCAAAAGGAGCTCTTCTCGCAGCGCAAGCAGCGCGAGTTTACGCCCGATAACAAGAAGGATGAGAGCTACTGGGACCGGCGGCGACGCAACAATGAGGCGGCCAAACGGAGTCGCGAGAAGCGGCGCTACAACGACATGGTCCTGGAGCAGCGTGTTATTGAGCTAACCAAAGAGAATCATGTGCTGAAGGCGCAGCTGGACGCTATTCGCGATAAGTTTAATATTTCGGGCGAGAATCTGGTGAGCGTGGAGAAAATTCTCGCCTCTTTGCCCACCAGCGAGCAGGTGCTCAGCAATACGAAGCGCGCCAAGATGAGCAGCAGCAGCAACTCTTGCTCCTCGTCATCGTCGGGCTCCTCGCCGGCCGGTGCCGGCTGCAGCTCACCGACCGCGCACACACACAGCGGCTACATCAGCTCCAATGCACCCTTGCTCTCGCCGATCGTGTACGGACCGAGCGGCAATGTTAATTCCGCCAGCGAGTCATTGACATCATCGTCATCGTCCAACAAGAATGGTCAGCATCATCTGGGGCAGCATGGACCACCACCACCGCCGCCGCCGCCCCATCCCCAAACCCATCCGCATCCGCATTCACATCCGTACCACCAGCTGCAACAGCCAGCCCATCATCAGCAAGTGCAGGACGCTGCTCCCGCCTCAGCAATGGATGGACACAATCGGCCGCCAAGCAACGCCATCGCCAATCTGCATGTGCTGCAACAAGCGCTGCACCGCAACGTGAGACCCCAGGATCTGGACAGCCTGCGCAAAGTTGTGGCTGTTGGAGCGCTCTACAATGCGGCGACAGTAGGCGCGGCGTCGCCAGCCGGCGCAACGATATATACACCTGCACCAGTGAATGCAAATGCCAGCGCAAGTTCACCCACAGCCGGATATGTTGCCATCAGCAAGGATCAACTGGAAGCTAGCTACGTGGAGGGTGCCGTCAGCAGCAGTGCGGTGGATACAGTGAGCAGCACCTGCTCCGCGGTCGTCAGCTCGGCTGCGGCCAGCGTGCTGAATCTATCGAGACGTGCCTGTTCACCCAGCTACGATCACATGTTGTCCTCGACCACATGCCTGACGTCCCATCGCTCGTCGGCGTCTTCGTGCGCCTCGTCGTCGGGCGCCGTTTCCGGCGACGATGAGCAGGAGCATGATGTCGCCGATGTGACTGCTCGCTCGCAGGATTCGCATGCGCTGGCCTGCATGCAGCGCAGCAGTCCAGCACATGGCAGCGAAGCCAACAACTGTCTGCCATTGAAGCTGCGCCACAAGTCGCATCTGGGCGATAAGGATGCGGCCGCAACGGCGCTGCTATCGCTGCAGCACATCAAGCAGGAGCCCAACTGCAATCGCTCCTCGCCGCCCGCATGGAACGACGGCGGCGACAATTCGAGCGACGAGCGCGACTCGGGCATTTCGATTGCCAGCGCCGAATGGACGGCACAGTTTCAGCGCAAGCTGCTGGCGCCCAAAGATGCCGTCGTATCGGTTGCAGTTGTCGCCAACGTGGATCGCGATCAAATGCTCAAAAGCCAGTTGGAGCGACTCGAGTCGGAGGTGGCCAGCATCAAGAGCATGATGATCCTTGCCGATTAGATTGACAGGCGAACGGGGAGAGAGAGCGAAGAGACAGACAAAACATGTAAAGAAGGCGAAGAATTTGTTGTTGATATAAGTATATGTTGATTTGACTTATTCGAGTATGCCGCCAATGTTGCTATGGCCGGATGTATGAGGCGTGCTCTGAGCAAGCAGATACTGACTGCTGTTCCCTAAATGTGCATACCCAGCCCATGTCCAAGGGCAGCCGAGGGAAGGCCTCTGTGCTCTCAGATTTGTTGCCATTTGGCATTTCTGTGTAGAGTTTCGATAAACATGTTCAACAAATATTGATATGCGATTAACTACTTATATAGATCTCGTTTAATTAGGAGCGCCGCCCTTCAAAATCAATTAGCTGGTTTTCTTTTTAGTTTCCTTTGATTGTCATAATACATGGTATGTCATGTGTGTACATCAATGAACACTTTTTGGGCCATTGTTGTCTAAAAACAAAAAGAAAAGAAAAACTATATACTATGCTTTAATCGATTACTCATTGTTGTTCTCTAAATGTATATTTATATATAATTTAATCAAAACAATCCTAAGTATTTACTGTTGTACATTGCACATAAGTAATAATAAGTTATAATATTGTATGTTTTTCATCTCGATCAATTTCCATTTTCATCAGCTGTGTAAAAAGATTCATCAATTATCATTGTACATAAGCGCATTGCAATATACGTAGGCAGTTAGTAAGATAGTCAGATAGTCAGATAGTAAGATAGAAGCATTAAGTTGATTGCAAAAGCAAAGCTTATTTATTATTATCATATCACAAAGCAAATACTATAAACAATTAGTTAAGTTAAGTAATCGAACCATTAACAATTTCTACCAGGCGTCCAATAGTAGAAGTTTTCAAAATAAGCGCATAACTTGTTAGTTATCAAATGGCATACATTTTAAACAATATACCACATACAATACCTGCATATATCGATGTTTAAACTATTTTGGAATTTATAGTGTATGCCCGGATTCGGATTTATAAAATTGAATCCCAGATGAAGCATGCCAAGGCCGTGTTTGCATTGCATTCTTTTGTATGTTTTGCTTGACATTAACATTTGCCGAGGGCAACATTTAGTTAATATATATATAAGTTCTATTACCGATAATCTATATCCTAATAATTATTTATACCAACTCGTTTGTAAACATATATATATGTTATATATCTATTTGATTGTCACACCTTGTGACATTCCATAAATATATATATATATATATATATATATATATATATATATAAAACATGCATTGCGACTACACGTATTCAATATTGAACTATGAAAATAAAACAATTTATATTGATAAAATATAGAATCACATATTATTACTCTTAAGTATGTTGAGTAAAAACAAGAACTAAAATCTTGCTTAGCTGCAAAAAGATTGTTTATTTGTACGCTAAAAAAAAAAAGAGAAAATGCCTTTATATAAAAGTAAAATATCTATAAAATATATATATAATATATAATTTGCATCGAGCTAATTAGTTTTTAGTTTAACACTAACCAAACAACATTTCTGCCTGTGCGGTCACATGCAAAGCAAAGAAAGAGAGAGAGAGAGCACTGAGAGAGAGCACAAATCATATGAAAGAGAGTAAAGCCAGTTGCCTGCAGTGCAAGCGCATAAGAAGACATCATATGTATATCTTACTCGCTCGCTCGCGACCAGTTGGACCTGATGTCTGCAAACATTTTCTGCCCACTTTTGTTGCTCGGCATGTCCAGTCAATATGTTGTTTGGTTAGTGCTGTAAAGATCTGTAAAGCAACGTGACGTACTTACCTTTGATATAGATGTAAAAGAATGTTTTGTCAAATTTAGAAATTATGCTAGTCAAAACGTGTTCAACTCAATTGACTTTGTTTATCCTCCTGGCAAACTTTAGCGTGCAGACAAAATTAGCAATGGGCAAATCGATCGTGTCGCTCAACCCGGAGAGTTTTGAAAGCGCCTCGAAAAGTCGCACTTTTTTCGTTGAGTTTTACGTGCCAGGATGTCCGAGCTGTTCCCGTTTGTACGTGCTGTTAACTAACTTGCTGGCCATCATCGAGAATAGCTCCACTAGTAATAATAATAATATCACAATTGCCGCCATGGACTGTGGAAAACATGAAAAGTTTTGTAGCGCAAAAAATATAAGCAGCTATCCAAGTTTAGCGCTATTCGAAAAGGGCGGCACGCGATACAAACTGTTCAACGGATCCGCCGAGCTCTACACATTGATCAAGTTCTTGAGCCTGCAAAATATATACAATTATCCGGCGGTTCGCGAACGCAGAGCCGATACGAGCTGCACGCCCGGCCGTGTGCTCAAACTGAAGTCGGATACGTTCCGTGCGGCAATTGCCAGCGGGCGATTTTTTATCAAATTTTACTCATCCACGTGCCACTACTGCAAGGAACTGGCGCCCATTTGGACGGAACTGGCCAAAGGATTAACCGAGCAGACCTTATGTATTGCCGAGTACGATTGCGTGTCGGACAGATCCATTTGCAATGAACTGAACATAAAAACTGTGCCGACCATTCTCTGGTTCCAGGACGGTCGACTTGTCCAAAGGTATAAGGGAGCGCGGCACATCGATAGCCTGCGCACCTTTGTCGAGGAGATGCTCAATGGAACCTACAGGTCGGCGGCGGCAACTCTGGCAACAATCACCGTCAATCACAGTCAGACCATAATGTGTACCTCACTTGTCTTTGTTTACATTTACATAACGTAAGACTATTGCCCATAATTTGTCTCTGTCTTCGCTTCTAGAATATCAATATATATATATATAGGGTATCTTTCATGTCATAGCTATCGCAAACTCCTCCCGACCTCCATTATAGGGATCGGTACCCTCGATTGCCATTACAAAATTCAAATTCTACATTTTTGAGCCAAGTTCAACAAAAAATGCATGTTTTTTCTCAAAATCGATGCGTTTTTAAAGAGTTGTTGACAAAAAAACGATTTCCTTGTGAAATCAACTTTCTCTTGGGATTCCCTTTTTTCGCATATTTCGCCCAAATAATATTCGATTTTGGAATTTTATATTCTTTTTGGATTTCAGCATCGATTGGCATTAGGAAATATAAAAATCGAAATTTTGAACCAAATTGACAAACAAAATCAAGGGGTTACATTAGGTTTTCTCAAATTCTGGGTTGGTTCGAAAATCAAAAACTTTTTTGATGATTTCATTCTTGAATATCTCGGGTAAATATCGTGCGATTTGGGAATGCTATGCCTTTTTAAATTCGTACGGATCTCTACTTTCAATTGACATTCAAATAAATTAGAAATCGATGGGTTTCAAAAAGTTGTGGACCAAAAAGCGATACCCATGTGAAATGAACCTTTTTTGATGAGTTTTTTTTCTTCGAGTATCTCGGCTATTTTAGCATTAGCATTAGCATTAGCATTAGCATTAGCATTAGTACTATCGATTGATATAGATAATTAACAAAACATTTGTATACTATTTATTAAGACTTTTATTTAGTTGCCAACAAAAAAGTTGAATAATATCGTTGAAACATAATTAAAGTTTGTTCCTCAATTAAGGTTTCATTTACATGGAATACAATCGAAAATAGTTATAATAAGTAAAGTTTTTTTTTCAATATATGTACGTATAATCTTCAATTATGTATATATATATACATATATGTGTATACGTTAAGTTTAAACATCACATGAATAGTTTACATTAGATTTCTGTAAATATTTGCAGATTTGTTTTCGCTAACGATCTTCGCCTTGCCCTGCCCCAAAAATTGTGTTCGGTTTTCTCTCTCTTTCTCTCTCTTAACTTTCGCTTTCGTTAGAATAGGAAAAAGCCCATCCCGTTCTGGTAAAAACATTGATGAAGACACCTCACCTGTGTTCGTAAAATGCACCTGTGCATTTTTTTGGTGCAAATCTTTCGTAGAGTTCATAGAGAATGCGTCGAGGGTGTAAATATGTTTATTGTAAATATCTATGCATATATATATATATGTTTTTTTTTCTTAAAATTGTTCGCTTTTAAGGTAGGTGGTGTGTGTGTGTGTTAGGGAAATATATATTAGTTATAATGCAACTGTACTTGGTACTAACTAAGAGAACTACGCTGAGGATTGTCCCTAAAAAGGGGGCGTGCCAGTGGAACTGTATAGGATTTGAACGACTGCCTCAAAAAATGCATAAAAATAAGTCATTTTTATCCCAGTGTTAGGTTGAACATTTTGTTGTGCTTTGTTTTTGGAAAACTTTGATTTGGCCTAGATTGATTCGGTTGGGTTTCAGTTGTTCGTCGTGATCCTTTCCAGGTGCAAGAGGTACACAAATAAGATTGTTTAGCTAGCTTGTGTTCAGTCTGGTCCTGCTGAGGATGCGGTCGTTTCGGTTCCGGTTCCAGTTGCGGTTCTTCTTCTTCCATTCCTGGCTGTCGTTGGCGTTGTACTTTGATCCGTGCTCCAGGAATGCACCATGTTGTAGTATTTGAGATAGTCATAGTCGAATAGCTCGAAATCAATACGATAAATCTCGAGCAATTGGTCCAATGTGGACCGATCGAGATCGGCAAAGTAGCGCTCCACCAGCTCCTCGGACTTGACGCCGTTCCGAGCTCGATTCGCGATTTTGCGCAGCTTGCGTCGCGGCAGCTTGCCCAGCAGCAGAGACTCGAGCCCCGCCTGCCTAATGATGAACTCCGAGTCGCGCTGGAATGTCTCCGTTTTGCCTATGATACTGAAATTCACGCTGCAAGGTGTGCAGAAGCTGTACACAGGTGCCCAGTGCTCGTCAAACCGATTGCCCGTCGCGTGCTCCTGAATGAGAAAGCGCACGAACTCCTCGAACGTGGGACCACAGCGGGGAAACGCTCCGCTCACGCTGCGGCGGCGAAAACGATGGACGACCTTGGTGCCCAGCGCCTTGTAGAAACTGTTGCGATTGCCCTCCAGCTTGTTGCGATACGCGCTCAGGATCCGCTCGAACGGATCGCGCACAAACAGAAAGGACAATGCGCTGGGCAATAGTTCCAGCAGCTCTGCCAGTCCCGGTCGGGGGAAGCGCTGTCGGGCCAGTTCCAGCGGCTGCACTTCCGTTCGCTGCAGATACTTTAGATCGTAGCCAGCTGATGGAACAGTAAGAAAACAAAAACAGCATATATTAGAAAAAGATATAGGACACTAAGACCTAAGAGAAAATACATTTAACACATTTTTAATTGGGTACAGGTTATAAAAATACAGAATGGAAGCGTGCTTTGTCGGTATCCGACTAGGAGAAAACCTAAATCCAGCACAAAGCTCCTCTTACAGTCATTCTAGCTTCCAGATTCTTAGAAATTTAACATTTCTTCCAGATTATTCGAAATTTAACATTTCTTCCAGATTTTTTGAAATTTAACATTTCTTCCAGATTTTTTGAAATTTAACATTTCTTCCAGCTTATTCAAAATTTAACATTTCTTCCAGGTTCTTAACATTTCTTTTAGATTCTTAGAAATTTAACATTTCTTCCAGATTATTCGAAATTTAACATTTCTTTCAGATTTTTTGAAATTTAACATTTCTTCCAGCTTATTCAAAATTTAACATTTCTTCCAGGTTCTTAACATTTCTTTTAGATTCATAGAAATTTAACATTTCTTCCAGATTACTAGAAATTTATCAGTTCTTCCAGATTATAAGAAATTTAACATTTCTTTCAGCTTATTCAAAATTTTACATTTCTTCCAGATTATTGGAAATTTAACAGTTCTTCCAGATTATAAGAAATTTAACATTCTTCTAGATTATAAGAAATTTAACATTTCTTCCAGATTCTTAGAAATTTAACATTTCTTTTAGATTCTTAGAAAACGGCCCCAAAAAGTAAACGAGACTCTGTGTAATATAATCCCAGTGTTCAAACCAAAATGTGGTGCTTACTGGAGTTCTTTCGCTTAATGAAGAGATTGTGAAGATTGTGAAGAGATTATGAACCCAGCTCGACATTATTTAGCCTGTTTCCTTTACTCACCCAGTATGTTGAAGTAGTACAACCAGGTGCTGCTGGCCGCCTTGAAGACATTGCACCACACGAGATTATTGTGGCCGGGCGATATGAAGAACTCCCAGGGATTTGGCGGATACTTATCCTGCAGCTTGTATCGCCCGCACACGTTCGCCAAATGCTCGCGGCGCAGCTTTAAATCGCGTTCGGTGCGGCTGTGCAGCTCCTCCGAATACTCGTAAGCCGGATTCAATGTGCTCGTTGAGCCGGCCGCTGTATCCTTAGCTACTGCAGAGCTCCCATTTGCCGCACTTGGTCGGATGCGTTGCTTAACGCGTTGGCGATGCAGTTGCTTGAGCTTAAGCTTCGACGGTTCAGCGTATTCTGCTGCCTCGAATCCGGAGGTCGTGGTACGTTCCCGATGCTCGAATGCATTTAGCGATTCCCGGAACAGGAAGGCAAAATAGAAGATGCCCACCAGGACAAAGGTGCCTATTTTCAGGTACGTATGTAGGCGTCGTCCAGATGGCAAACGGATGTGCATTTTGAGTAGGAGTCGCTAAATCCTTCTTGTCCTGCCCAACTTACAGCGCCAACATGTTCAAGGACTGTCTGTCGATTGGCTGGACACTCTGCTGGTGTAACTAAATATTCAAACGTGCAACAATTAGTTTAATATTTAAACTGAATGAACAAATATAGCCCCAACTATATATAGTAGCGGGGATGGGGTCAGAGGTCACGCTCTTCCATCCAAAATAATATGTTAAAAATGTATAATGTTTTTGTGCAAATGCTTGTAACAGGCCGAAGAACGCATCTCCGGCCCAAAAGTAGTAGTAGCTTCTTGAGAAACATCAATAGCCGTATCTAGGTTCGAAATTTCTAAGTCTCTTGCTCTTATAGGTTTTTATAGGTTCGATCTAGCTATGGATCTCAGAACCTATAAGAGCTAGAGACTAGAAATTTCGAACCTAGATACTTCTATTGCCCGCGCAGCGCGAGTTTGTTTCCGATTATCGATAACTTGCCCCGTTTACAGGAAATCGATAAAAATCGTTATCTAAAACCTGTTTTTTGAGCAAATCTCTTATATTTGAAGAGCTAGAGTCATAAAATTGGAGTTTCTATTTAGGTATGTATATACCATATACATCAAGTATTTTTAATTTTATAAGTATCGCCAACCCCCGCTAATAATCTACCCACCAATTTAAGCCTCAATTTGAATGCAATTGCCTTTTGCTGAATATTTGAATATTCTATCGGACAATATGATATACGACTGAAAATCGCATCAGGATCGGTTAAGAAACACAAAAGTTATTCAAGAAAACGTGTGCTTATATTGTGACACGTGTTTGCGGCAAGAATTTCTGTATACATGCGCGCACACACACACACACACACACTTAGCATTGCCTTTGCGTGCGTATGCATGTATGTGCTGCTATCTTAATGCGTTTTTTTTTCGCCGAAAGCGAACTGTTGATGTGGCTGTCGCGTAGAGGCGGCGGCAAGTGGCGCTGTCTGTCACGGGTTCGAGTCTTGGTTTGATTTTTTTATTATTTATTTTTATTACTGCAAAAGCAAAGAAGCTTGTAGCGCGAACTGCTTTTGCTGTGGGTAGAAGAAGAGTCAGTGCATACCCTTGTCGAGAACTCGCGACTTGTTTTTTCACAGCACTTTGGATGAAACCGTCAACGAATCCCAATGTTATTGTTTATTCAAATTGATTTTTCCATTTTATATATTTTGTATATTTTGGTGTATACACCACTTTCTGCTTAATGCCCCACCTAGGTTAACTGGTTACTGCACTTTCGGTTGGCCTGCCTGAGCACCTTGTCGTCAGCTCCAAAGGGCGACTCACACTCAACTGTCGGCTGGCCGCCTGGGATACTTCTAAGCAAATCCTCTTGTATCCAAACGTTCTGCGCACGCGCTGGGAGAGCAATTGCTCTGCCAATTAACATTATATAGAAAACACTCCAAATAATTGAAGCACTTGCGTCTCTCTGGCATCTACATCTTCATTTATTTATCAAACTTTGTATTTGTCTTGTAAAATATCAAAAAATTCTTCAGTTTTTTCTAGTTGTCCAAGCTTTATAAACTCTCACATATCTCAAGTGAATCCTGGGATATTAATTTGAGCTCGGAACGTCGCCTTTCTGACAAAGATTTTCCCAAATGTTTTTGAGCTAAGATCCTTGAAAATGATTTTGGGGTCAATCGGAAGGTAAACAAAAAAGCAACATGCAATCGTTTTCTAACAATCTAAATTCATTGTAAAATTTTGAAATATTGCCTTTTGGACATTAAAGATGGCACGGGTAGATATTAATTTCCCTAAGGACACGGGCAATGCCGGATAATACGCGGTTTTTTGAAGAAAATGTTTGAAGTATGGTGATTTGTTGACGATATAAGAAGGAAATGTTTTGTTGTTGTTTTTTTTTTAATTTTCGTGTATATTAAATCTTTGTATTTTCTTTTTTCTATAAATATTTTTTTACTTTAATGTTAAAGTACAAACAAATTCTTTATAATAAATTTCTAATACTACGTTTTAAGACACTTTCGTTTTATTTTTGTTGTTCTTCATCTTGTGTTGTTACATGCATTTGCTTTTTAATATTTAATTTTTTAACCGTGTGTGTGTGTGTGTGTATGTCTTTGTTGCACGAGTTTGTGTTGAATGGCATTGGGGCATATAAGAACTAATTTTGTTTATACAACTTTGCCATTAACAATTTTGCAGATTTGAATTGCAGTGAATTTTTTGTATTTTTTTTATTTTTATTTTTTATTTTTTATTATTGTTTGTGAATTTTGTGTGGGGATAACTGTGAAATGCTTAGAATTGTCGACATCCATGGTTTTGAATGGGGTTTTTGTGTATCATAACGAACTCGTTTTATATATGTATTCAGAGATATAATATGTACATATATCGGTACTATATATGAATGTTATTCTAAAGGATCGTGGTTTTATGTAAGTTTTTTTTCTCTTCATTCATTTACATTAACCATGAACTAAGTATCAAAAGACTTATTTAATTAGCAATCATACAATACACATAAGATAATAATATTGAACAATATATATGTATGCGTTTAAAGAAATATTAATATAATGTGTTTGTTTAGCGTTTTGCTTCTGCTATGCATCTTCATTTTCCCCTAATTGTTTAAATAACATTTAGCAAAAATAGAGCCTGCTTTATATACAATACAACTTTTGCTTTCGTTTTTGTTTTTGTTTTTGTTTTTTTTTTTACTTTTACTTTTCTTGTTTGTTTATGCAAAATATATAACATTATATACGGCTTCTTTTTGTATATAAGTGTAGACATATGTTCATTCGCTTTGCAAAACTACAAACACTTTTTATATATTTCTCTCTGGTCTACACGCAATTTTTTTTTTGTTTCGTGGTTTGCCTTGACTAACTTATTGCAGAGGTTTTTATGTGCATATATTGGTAGAGAATTTTCGTTAATATTATGAGCGTTTAAAACTAAAAAACAAATTTTTTTTTCGAAACAACGCAAACGTTTGCATAAAAAACTATAAGGACTATTATCTATATTTCGTGTGCATATACTTAAAATATGATAAAATAATAAAAATATAAAAGTATGGTCTGATTTGTTTTGCAATCTTAAGCTTGAATCATTAGGATAAACCGTAGTAAATTATTTATATTCTTAAATGAGTTTATGTTGCATTTATTAGAATAATGTCTAAAGTATATACAAGAGCTTAGATGAGAAAATGAAAATACGCATGCGTGTTAGGGTGTGTTTGAGTTAACTACTTTGTTATACATTTCTGCACATATTTGATTTTCATCTAATTTGTTCAAAATACATTTTTTGATCTTCACATAAATTGTCTGTTTCACTTGACTAGCAAATCTATTAACCATGGGACATTTGATGAAAAGTAGCGCTCAATTAGTAAAGGGTTGTTTCAAAATTAAAAAATATAAGTGAAACATGGATTTATGTGTGTGATGCTGCTCGTCAGAGATGCAACATTATTGCAACCTTGTGTTTACAACTAACTATACAAATATTCAAGGAAAACCTTTACAAAAACTTTTTACAAACAAAAGAATTGGCTTTTGTATGCTTGTGTGAGTTTAAGCTATTTACAGAGCTCAGAGCCGTAAATTGAAGCATGGTAAACAATTCTTTCAACAATTCAAAACGACGCCGTTATGCCGTTTGCGATGAGCTACTGCCGACAGAACGATCATCGCCCGTCACGCTCAAGTCCGGAACGGATTCCTGGAAACTTAATCCAAGATTGTTGTTAAGCGGCACCATGTTGAGAACCTCGCTAACATCACACCATTGCTGCTGCTGCTGGAGATGGAGCTGCTGCTGGTGCTGGTGTTTGCCAGCATTCACATGTTCATTTGAGTTTCCATCACGGATTTCCAGATTTTGATCGTCCTTCTCACTAAGTAGATTATTCAAACACATGTTGAACTCATCGTAGTCTACAAAGTTGCCGCAATCCAAAGCTGTGGCATTGTTCAAATCTGGCATTAGCAGGCTGACCGCATCGACAGTCAGCGCTGAAGAAATATTAACGAGATCCTCCTTGACATCTTTAATATCGTTTTCTACGCTGCCGTCCTCATCGACACCGCCATCAACGTTTTGCGCCTGGTCCAAAGGGAAACTAGTGCTGAAATCAAACCTATCCGGAATATCCAGTTCGATCAGATCAACCAATTCGTCCTCGTCAGCATCGTTTGCCTGATTAATTCCCTTAGCCAAGGCGCAAAACTCTGGTCACTTGTAATCACGCGAAGTCCTTCTTCGTCGTCCCTCGGTCAGCATAGACTCGCTAATTACTGTAAGTTATAAGAATTTCTATAGAATCTATTATTACATTTGAGTTGCTTACGCGACAATTCACCTGCACTGCGTGTTTTGCGGCGCGCTTCTGCCACACTCTCTACACTCGCATTCGTATTGGGATTGGCCGCCGCACCACTGACTACTCCGGTACCCCCAGCTGCATTTTTACCCGTCGTCCCTTTGTGCTCGGCGGCTGCAGCCGCAGCAGCAGCGGCTGCATTGCTGCGACTGTAAATTATCTTGTTAGCAGCAGCGCTCGCCCTTACGCTCCTTCTGGTGCCAACTTTCTCGTCTGTTGGCGAATTGGCGTTAACCACATTATTGTTATTGGTAATGTTGCTGGTATTGCCACTGGTAGCAGCGGCTGCTGTTGCGCCACGTGTTGCATGCACCACATTTGTGTTATTATTGTTGTTGTTTGATGTTCCAGCTGTTGCCGCGTTGCTGACAGTCAGCAACGTCGCACTGTTATTGTTGCTGTTTGTGGCAATTGGCTGCGATTTGGCTGTCTTCGGTGTCTGAGCGGATGTGGTGGCACTCAAACTGGGAGCTTCTGTAAAGTACTCGGGACTGACTGAACAAAGAATCTACATTAAATTGCATTTTTGTTTACTCACTTTGTTGCTGCTGTTGCTGTTGCTGCTGCTGTTGTTGCTGCTGTTGCTGGGCATTGCGTCTAGTTACGTGCCTTTCCTCAAACTGTGCCTTCGAATTGCGCACCTTGCCTGCCACCTCGATTAGTGGCTCGTCCGAGTCGGAAGACTCTATTTCGATCTTCTTCGATAGCATATAATTGAGCCCTGTTTGATCTTGTATATCCGGATTATTATTGTTGTTGTTGCTGTTGTTGTTGCCACTGCTGCTGCCACTGCTGACACGTGCACGCTTGGCGCTATTGCTGCTGCTGCTGCTCGTCTCGCCGACAAGACCGGCGTCGATGGTTCCATCATTGCTGCTGCCGCACTCAGACTCCTGGCGACGACGTTTAACACAGCTGTTATTATTATTGTGAACTGGTGTTGTCGTGCTCAGACGAGGACTCGGTACTGGCGTAACACGGGCTACGCTTCTAATCGGCAATGTTGGGGTTGCTGCTGTCGCAGAAGCTGTTGTTATGACTACAGCTGACTGTTGTTGTGCTTCTGGGCTTGTCTTTGGAGCGTCCATTGGACTCTCTAGTCGACTAGTAGCGCGTGTTCTGATGCGCGGCGTTTCAGCATCCAATTGCGGGGGTATTTCAATCGATATGGGTTGAAGTGCGTCTGTTAGCTTTTCTTTTTTCTCGTCCACCGCGTTTTCTTTTTTGTCCGGGATGTCTTGTTCGCGATGTATTCCAGGCTTTGGTTCCTGTTTACTGGCCGTCACATCTGCTTGTCGGTTGTCCTGCAATTCAGCTTCCTCCGTTTTACAGTTCAAAAGCGTCGGCTGATCCTCCAATATATCTTTTTCCATTTTCATCTGCGCTTCTGTATTTGGATCCCTTACAGTTGATAATAGCACAGGTGCTGGTAACGGTTTATTTTTATCCTCAGTTTCGATGTTGTCCGTTAACTTTTTAATGAGATCGTCGTGTTCAAGTATAACATGTTCCCCATTCAGTTTCGGGGTGCTTGGCGCTATTGTTGTAGTCAAATGGAAACCACCACCCATTGTTGCAGCTACCGTCTCCTTTGATACATTGGCTACAATGTTCTCCGAGTCATCCGGAATGTCTCCCTCCATCTTGGCAAGTGCCTTTTCAATCTCATCGTCGGCATTCTGCAGCTGTTGAAGTTTACTATTGTCGCTTGTTGTTGGAACTGCTGTAGCAACTGTTGCTGATTGTGTTATTGTAGTTGATGTACTTGCGGATATTGTTGCTTGCTTGGTAACCAATTGTTGTTGTTGCATCTGTATGGGACTGCTGGAGGATTGTTGGTGCGGGCTTTTTTCAGAGAGCGCATCCATCGACTCTATACCACTGTCTTCGCCGCCGCCATTGTTCCCATGACCGGGCGTGCCGCTTCCGTTGCTGGCGGGCGAATTGCGCAAGGTGTTAGCCAGCACAGACGCCGGCGTTGGTGACGACGTAACGCTTGTTGTTGTACTCGCTACTGTTTGTAGACTCACATGGTTTAGTTTGGGATGCCCTGACGTTGTAATTGTATGTGCATTTGTACTTCCAATTGGATTTTCATTGACATTATTGTTAATAATCGTGGAGTTCATCGAGATGGCCACTGGCAGCTTTCTCTCCCCAATCATTGACAATGTTGCAGTCGCAGTCGCAGTCGGTGTAGTGGGCGTGGCCGTGGTGACGACCTTTATTGTGGCTGTATCCGTTGTGTTGCTCGGCGCCCGTTTGGTGATCTCGACACGCTTCAGCGTCGTCGCACTTGGCAGCATGGTAACGGCCGCCGCCAGTTGTTGTTGCTGCTGCTGCTGTTGCTGCTTCTGTAACTGCAGCTGTTGCACAGCGGTGATGTATGGCGGCGGCTTATGGTTTTTTGTCATCGGCTTACCACCCACAATGGGTGTAATGGTGGCTGCAGTCTTAATGGGATTCTTTAAGGTAATATTGCTCAGCACGCGACTGTTGCTACTGCTATTACTATTGCTATTATTATTATTATTATTATTATTATTATTGTTACTATTATTATTGTTATTGTTATTATTGTTGTTGTTAGTGGTGGCGGTGCTTGTGATAGCACTAAGAGTAATGCTACTGGGCAACGAGGTGGCTATCTTGCTCAATTGCTGCTGCTGCTGCTGAATGGTCGTGGTGGTGCCAGTGTTCGTTGATCCCACGGTCGCTAGATGCCCATCGCTGGCTTGCGTTTGCGATTTATGTGCCTCCACAATGGCACTAATCGTTAGCCCGTTCTTGCCGGCCACAATTGTTGTGGTCTTAGCACCTGTTGGCAATTGTTGCGCTGGGTGAACCGATTGGGGTGGCAATGGTGGCGGTGGCTGTGGCGTCTTTTGTAACAGCATGCCAGAGCTGGGCAGCCCATTCACATGTGGCGCAGCTATCAGCTTTGACTGTTTGCTCTCCGTCCCGCCGTCCATTACTAATGTCTGCTGTTGCTGTGCCTCATGATCACTGAGGGTTCGCTTTATTTGGCGAACCCTTTGCTCGTCGTCAGTGGCCAATGGCTTTTTCCGCTCCTTGCGCGTATTCTTCACAACCACTGAGTTTTTGCCGCGAAGCCGAATCTGAAGCGGCGGAACACGTGGCTCACTCAGTCCAACGGCAACACTTTGCTGTGGATCAGTTTGTTGCTGATGTTGGAAACTACTATACACTGAATGGTTTTGCTGTTGTTGATGTTGTTGTTGCTGCTGTTGTTGTTGTTGCTGTTGTTGAAGTTGTTGTTGTTGTTGTTGTTGTTGCTGCTGGAGCTGTGATGCAGGTAGAGTCAGCAATTTGGCCTGCATCGGCAGTTGGTGCTGCTGTAAATGATTATTGCTGTCCATTATGGCATTGACTTGGACATGCTGATGCTCATAAGACGCTGCAGCTATATCCACTTTTTCCAGTTTAAGTCGCAGCTTGATTTTCTCCTCTGCAATAGCTGCTGCCGACACCGTCACTGCTGTTGTTTTAGCCCTAGCATTTCCCTTGGCACGTTCCCTTTTTGGCTTTGGAGTAGTCGTTGTTGTTGCGTCTTTAGCTTTGCGTTCCTTCACACCCTGTTGCAACTTTTCGCGCAGAAGATTTGGTTTCGTTTTCTTACTATTGCCAGAAGTGGCAAGAGTGCTATTTCCTGCACTGTCCATCTGCCCAGAACTGTGGCCTAATTGAGAAGAGTCGCCGGAAGCGGTGGATTGCATTTGCATCTGTTGGGTTTGCGTGGGCTGGCATTGGTTCGTCTTGTGCTGCGTCATTTTTCTCGAACGATTCGATGCAGATTTGTTGGAAGCAAGGGAATCGCGAGAGCGCTCTTGATCACTGCTACCAGCTATTGGCAGCTGTGAACCAGAAATAGCCGAATTAGAATCCTCCTCGGAGAAGATATTATTCGGCAGCAACATGTCGTTGGCAGGATTAAAGCTAGTGTAACCGCTCAGACTATTCGACATGCTGCGAAATTGAAGTTGCGTTGTTTCTTGCTCCGCCTCCGTATCACTATCATCACTAGCCATCGGCTCCATATCGCCAGTATGCGGATTGATGATGAACTGCTTTTGCTGGACATTTCCTGGAGCTTGTTGTTGTTGTTGTTGTTGTTGCTGCTGCTGCTGCTGTGCCAGTTTCTTTTGCGCAATAACTTGTGCATTTGGACTATCAACCTGTTGCTGCTGCATGTAAAGTAGTTGTTGTTGTTGATGCGTTCGATGCGGCACTTGCTGCTGGGGCAGGTGAATCTGGCGCTGCAACTGTTGACGTTGTTGTTGCTGTTGCAGTTGTTGCAAGTGAGTTAATTGTTGCTGTCTCTGTTGCTGCTGCTGCTGCTGCAATAATTGCTGTTGGTTGAAGGGCTGCATGTCTAACATTTGAGTTTGTTGTTGTTGCTGCTGCTGTTGCTGTTGTTGCTGGGGTTGTTCTATGCATCCGGGCGTATCCTGAAGCGTGCTCAGGGCATCGCCTACATCCATGCCGACCGCCGTCAAATTATCCTCGATCAAGTCCAAGTCTAGATCCTTGGCATCCTGAAGCAATGATTCGAGCTCGTTCTTATCCTCAAGGCTCAGCGTTGAGTCTAGATCACAGTTTAAAGTTGGCAATAAAGCGTCCAAGTCGTTAGTCGTTAAGGCGTCGAGGTCGGACAACGAAATCAATGGATCATTTAGGCCATGACCAACGGCTGTAATGTTCGTAACATTCTGCGCTTCCTGTGCCCCTAATTGCTGGATTGGTATCGGTAGCTGTTGATGCTGCCGTTGTCCGGCCGCTGTCAGTGCTATCGTTCCTGGCGGTACCATTTCTGCCGTATTAGATGCCGTTGTAGTCTGTGCTGGACCGTTGTTGATTTGTTGTTGCTGTAGATTGTATTGCATCTGGTAGCGCGTGAACTCCTGAAAACTGATTTTAGTAACCGAATCCATCGGCTTATTTAGCGCGGGCCAGCGCGAATTCGCCGCCGCCTGATTGTAGTCGGGAGGCGGTGGCAGCTGCGCATTGCCCGCGCCCGCTACAGGTACAAGGTGAGCATGTTGCATATTAGAAATGGGCTGCATCTCCTTTTGCTTTTGTTGAAGCTGCGTCAGCTGATGTGAATGTGGACTTTTCGGCGTCGTCGAAGGCGAAAGCATTGACGAGGGAGGCTGATGGTTAGCCATCAGCGGACTGTGCATTGAGTGATGGCTGGATGCAGGTGAATGGGCGATGGGCGAAGCGCCGCCATGAGACATAAACTGCTGCGCCTGAGGCGAGGACAACGGCATGCTCATAAGTCGCTGATGTTGCTGTGGCGGCGGCGGCGGTAGACCGGCTCGGATTTGCTGCTGCCTCAACTGCTGTTGCTGCTGCTGCTGCGATTGTTGCAGGCCTTGATTATTGAAGCAATCTGCGTAAGTAAAAGTATTAGTTATAAACTGATTGATGCTACTGCTGTCCACTTGCTTACCAGTCTGTTGCTGCCCAAGAAACTGCTGCTGCTGTTGCTGCTGCTGGGGTGGCATAAATCGTGGATGCATACCCTGCATCTGATGATGGCGCTGTTGATGTACCTGTTGCTGCTGGTGACGCAATGCAACCGCATGCTGAAATCGATGTGGTGGGGGCCCCTGATTATACAGATTCGCATTACCACTAGGACTGAGGAGCAGCTGCTGCTGCTGCTGCTGTTGTTGTTGTTGTTGATGTTGTTGGTGTTGGTTTGGCAGGTTGCGCATCAATACGGGCCCGACCCCGGTTGGTGAGGAGGGCACCACCGGACTAGGCACGTTTCCAATGTCGAGAGGTGCACCTGTTGTTCCCATAACAAAATCGCTAGGAGTGGCCGGGGAGCACCGCATTGGCGAGCTGGAGTTCATCATTTGTGTGCTTGGACTCATGCTAACTATTGGTGACTGTGGAGTTGTTGGCGCCGCCAACTGGGGCGACTTCATTTGACTTGAAATCGCATTGCCGTCGTTTTGCAGCAGATTGACCAACAGTGGGGATGATATTGCTATGTTATTGCTGCCTGACAACGTAGTTGTAGGCGCTGGTGCTGCAGATGAAGATGTCGTCATATAAGTCTGTGCCGGCTTCGCGCTTGGTGCAACAACTGCCGAATTGCTATTGTTAGGTGTAGTCAAACTCGAACTTGGACCTAGACCGGGATATGGTGGAGGCGGATTTACGAACTGAGATTTATTGGAGGTTCCCGCAAGAATTGTGGTTGCAAGAACCTCGCCGTTCTGCGTTGTTTGATTATTTAACAGATTAAGAGTCGCAATAGGGGGTGGCGGCGGTGGGCCCAGCGCGTTTATGCTAGCTGTGGTTGCTGTATCCCTGCCCTGCAGGACACGTGCCTGCCGCATACTTTCGAACGGGAAATCTCTTGGCACATTTAGCGTGCCTGCAGGTGAGGGCAGCAACGGCACTTTGCCTTCCATGGGACACACTGTGTTAGGGGATTTGAAAACAGGCGGCGTCGTATTTGCATTACTGTACGGCGAGGATGGTGTCTGCGGCGGCAATGACTGTTGAATTAGTTTCTGCTGCGTTAGCACATTTCGCCGCTGCTGATGTAACTGCTGCTGGCTAGAGATTGCATCGTTTTGCGTCAGTTGCGTGATACGCTGATGTTGTGTATAGGCTGCTTTGCTTGTACTGGGACCGTCGAAGGTGGGCGCCGCCAGAGGCGTCGACGCCGAATTGCCAACGCCAACGCCAACATTGAGGGCGGCTTTGTTGGAAGACGTGCCAGCCGCCTCAATTGCACCGATTGCGACATCTTTTAAAGTATCTGTAAATTAAAGTTCAACGAACGTATTAAAAAGAATGGAGCGTTTATACCTAAACATTATTGGATAATACGTACCTTTTGTTATTTTAATATCTTGTCCTCCAACATTTAAAGCTATCACAGAATCGCCTTCAGGCTGCACGGAAAGAATCCCGAGCGCACGCAGGGTGGAATTGCCCTCGACGGCCAGTTGACGCAGTCGTTGTGCTGCATCCCAGGGGAGAGACACCGATATCCGCACAGACGGTTCAAGCTGCTGCAAGTGAAAGAGTTCAGTTAATAAATGCATTGCAAATTCTATACATTTAAGGAAGCAGGAGGCAATGATATTCCTAGTGATGTACAATAGTACGATATGCCAACATTTATCGTCTATCGAAAACTGAGCTTGCACATGCAGCCCTGCCGTAATAGCCACACAATAAATGTTGTGTGTATGTACCCAGTAGGCAATCAAATTGTAATAAAACTGATTCTAATATTAATTCACTTTTAAAGAATAGAACAATTATGTTGTTGGTAATTATTGAGCCAGACACGGACAGAAAAACTAAAAACTAAAAAAAAAAAACAATTAAACATTTTGACGTTTCTGTTTTGTGCTCGTACTTCGTGTAGCGTGCGAGCGAGATGGTTATATAGGCCTGTAGGAAATTCCAACAACAATTTATTACAACAGAAATATATGGATACTAATTCATATCTAGCCACTTATGCTGCATTATAAAATAAAACAGTGTACTAATTTGTGTCATGCCTACACGTATCGTATCAAATGCACAAAAATACAGAAATATGCAAAAGACCCCTGGTGAGAGGTTGCTCACGTTCTCATTTTCGACATACGTACGTTATCGATATCTCGTCGCCATTTTTCTTAAGGCTCTGGAAAGGGTTGGCGCAAGAGGGGAAGGAATTGGTAACCAAAACACTGCTGTGGTCACCTTCGTTCCTTATTTCCATTTATTAAAATCCCACAAAAAATATAGAGCCATACGCACACAGGTGCATTTAACGGATGACACGTTCGAAAACGGTTTTTTGATGTAAATGAAAACAGCGTGGGTGACGCAAGTTTTTAATAAGCAAACACGACCCCTCCACCTCTAAATTCTTGAATGAAAATGCAGAAGTCGCGAATCAGCTGTTTGCGCAAAGTTGACTGCGGCAAACGGAAACCAAAATCATGAAAACCATCAAAAAATGATGGAAGAAAGTGACAAGGGACACACAATTGCACTAATGCACTCAAGATGTACTCACCTGTTTAAGTGGCATATCATCACACGGCAATCGAACCCGTCGTAGATTTAATTGGCAAAGTGTTGTACAAATTTTGCATTTAGTACAAGCGCACACAATTCTTGCTGTTTCTATTACTATAATCACGAATGTGTATCGATATCATCATCGTGGCCAATTAATAAATTCGTTTTTGTTTTCCAAACTATAAGACGCGCATTGTCTCGTTCTTTGCATTTAAACAATTGCATGTTTGCACTGCGCGCATTTTCTACTATTTTAAGCTTGTTAATTTCACAGAATATGACACAAAAACACACGTCCTAACATTACCGCTCCGCTCGCACACACTTCAAATTGTTTTTGCTCCACGGTATGCACCAACTAAATTGCTGTTTGGTTTTTATTTTGGTCTTTATCTGCACTTTTGCTGCTTGTTTGCAGCCACCCATGCATATGTGTTTTTTTTTTTTACAGGAGCTCAGCGTTAGCTTGTTATTTAACTTAATTGAACTTAACACATGCACATCTTCTGTTTTCGACGCATTTTTCCCGATTTAAGACAACGTGGAGTGTGGGTGAAGGCGTCCAGTAATTGGGCGCTCCTCTGCTGGCACTGGCTGATTTGCTTTTGATTTGATTTTTCCAATTTTTTGAAAAGCAGCTAACTGCATGAAATTGCAAGCATTCGTTATTGAAAAAATTAGTAATGCACTTTTCACAGCTTGTAGTGAAATATTCTGGTGTCACAGTTGTTTTTTCTATGCATTTAAAATAATAATATTGCTTTTCACTCCGATTATATTTCTTGTCACAATTTTCGATTGAACAAAGTTTGTGGTGTTGATTAAGACAACCTACGAACGGATACAATGTTTATAGTTATACAAGCAGTCAACAGAATATTATTAATTGATTTTAAGCTTATTGGTATTTCTTTAGCGTAGTGTTTTTGTTGTTTATTTTGTAAAAAAATCTTCGTAATTATTGAAATTCCACGAACAATAACAACCGCCATTTGCATTCGCCTTAGTGGTAGCCATTTTTATTTTCCAGTCAGTGTTTACCTAATATTTGTGAACAAGACATACTAAAAATGCCAGCACATAGCGCTCAGTGTTTCCAACTTAAAAAAATATTGTCTAATAATGTTTCTCATACAATTTATCGTCTTGACTCTATATTCTGTAAAATTACTAGTAAAATTACTCTAGAATTCAAAGATTTTCTGGAAAATAAGTGTGAAAAAACTTTAGATAATTATCTTTTTCTATAAAAGAGTTTAATACCAGAATTAGAATATTTAAATATTACAAAATGAGTAACTCTCGAGAATCTAGTATTTTTTTTTTAATTTTTATGTAAATTGGAAGACTGCATCAGAATATTTGTGTCCAAAAAATTAACTGAAATTGGAGCTGGTGTAATTTCAAAAGCAAAAAGAGAAATATCGGTATACGATATTAGAATAAACATATAACACACACAAAGTAGCAGTTACCTTCGACAATCGAATCGCAATTTAACATAGTGTGGCCACCCCAAAAACAATTTGTGCAATGTGGCAACCTTACAGAATATTTGATTAGAGTGGCAGCATTAATAGTGAATAATCTGCAAATGTGAGTAAAATAAAAAGTTCAGTAATAACTTTACAGTATTAATATCTTCCAACAGTGAGAAGTATAGCGTAAATAATTCATTTCAAATTTAGTAGCCGAATTGAGTGTTTGTTATTCGAATTAATCGCAATAGAATTTGCTGCACAAATGAGTTACATAACAACTGACCAGTGAAAATTTGATTTGCAGTCCAACACAATAATATGGCCAACACTCCAGCAACCTCCAGCAGCGCCGGCCCCGTGCTGCGCGGCCTGCACAATGCGACCATAAAGCGCAATCTGGCTGTGGCGCTCGGACTAACTGCAATTGTGACAGTTGCCTTTAAGGTTTTGGTCAATGATCCAAAGAAAGCTGCCTACGCTGAGTTCTACCAGTGTGTATTGAAATCAATAACATGCTTTCGCCTTGACTAACATGCATTTGCGTTTAATTACAGGAAATATGACGCCAACAAATCCTTCGAGCGCATGAAGGCCGCCGGCCGCTTCCAGTCGTGCTAAGCAACAAGCTCTAGGTCTGGCCGGAATAGTATAAGACATGCAAATGTTTGCGCTATAAAGTGTGTAGCTCTGCTGTATTGATAAACCGATAACCAAATATACTTCAATTCTGTGCTTTAGTTTGAGCCCCAATTCAAGCTGGCTGCGATGTCGGGATGAAAATCATTTATTAATTGGTTTCTAGTAACTTATCGAAATAGTGCACAAAACAAACATAAGAAAAAAAGACTATAGACAACATTTAAAACCGAATTGCAAAGTCTTTGTAATCCAGTCGATTCAAATTGCTTTGATTTCGCAACTCGCATCGCTCGATCTGACAGCCTGGTGAGCCCTCGCTGGACAGCCAGTTTATCCTATAATTAATAATTGATATAAAGCATTAGTTACGCAGCTGAATAAGTATAAGCAATTGGCATGTTACATACATTTTGTCTACCTCCGCTTTGGGGCCCTGCATTTTGCCCACAATGGTGCCGCGCTTGCTGTTCTTGACCCAGCCTGTGATTCCTGCTTTGGTGCAACGGTCACGCGTGTCTTTCGTCAGATTTAAGCCTGCCGATTACACAAACATTCTCAGCTATAATTACTTTGTATATCGCTTACTGCACATGCGAAACAAAGCCAAGGACATTAAATGCCGAGCAACTGTGCAAGATGTATTTTTAGCCCGTGATGTTAGCGAATGCAGTGGGCGACGGGCATGGGGTTTAACTAAACTAAATTAACTGTTAACCTTGCACATGTCCGAAAACCTCAAATTCCAGTGTGACCAGCTGACGTATGTCAGGTATGCCCATGGCGATCGCTTCCACTTCCTGTCGCTCTGATTATGTAAGGTTATGGACTTTCCGAGAGGTATGTACATACGCCTTGACACATATGTGTGTACACGTTTATTAACTTGGTTGGCTTCAATACATTATAGGGTCCGGCTAACTTGTCTATTTGATGTATGGAAAATATTTTGTTAAAATGCAAATCGAATGATCAATTGCAATTGATTTAGCTGTTGCGAGTATGATTTTCAGCAAACCGTCGACAATTTTCAACTGAAATGCCAAGTTTTTGCATTTCACGCCTTGCTTCAATATCAATTGCTTTCTATTTTGCGCTTTCGATTTACATTTGCGTATTTATTTTAGATGCGCAGTCCCCCCCCCCCCCCCCCTTCGTTTCCTTTTACTTTTTGATTTTCAGCGAAATTGTTCTGTGAAATGCGTACCTACCGCCAGCTACCCTACTCGTTGACTAAATTTAATACATATTCAACATTTCAATACATATTCAACATTTCTATTTAGTGACAATGCGTTGCAAGAGGCATGTACATATGTCTAGGCCTTATTTAGGTCCGATGTTAGACAATTAACAACAAGCAATAATTAATGACAACTTATTATTATCTATTATCAGTATTATTAAAATTAAAATGAATATTACTATTATTATCATTATTGTCATTAATTTTATTATTATCATTATTATTATTATTAATTTTTATTATCATTATCATTAGCATTATTATTATTATTATCATTATCATTAATTTTTATTATTATTATTATCATTAACTTTATTATCATTATTATTATCATTATCATTATCATTATCATTATCATTATCATTATCATTATCATTATTATTATCATTATCATTATTATTACCATTATCATTATTATTATTATTATTATCATTATTATTATCATTATCATTATTATTATTATTATCATTATCATTATCATTATTATTATTATTATTATTATTATCATTATCATTATCATTAACTTTTATTATCATTATTATTATCATTATCATTATCATTATCATTATCATTAACTTTTATTATCATTATCATTATCATTATCATTATCATTATCATTATCATTATTATTATTATTATCATTATTATTAATGATAATTATTATTAATTTAGTACATTTTTTCATTATAGTTTTTTCTTTGATTGACAAATATTTATATATATACATAGTATATATATATATTGTATGGATTCCATACTTTTATGGAGAACAAGAAATGAAGAAGTGAGAAATGCAATTGGTGCCTTAAAATTGTGACATTATTGTGTTTTTTTTTTAATTTCACGAAGTGGGAAATTGTTTTATTGCTCAAATTGCAGATGTGCTCGATTTGTTAAATCTAAAACACGGCATAATTTGCCATGACATATTCCTATCAGGTGCATAAAACGCCAAAAAAAAACTGTAGGATTAAGTATATGTACATATAGAGAATTTTCTGTGCAATTCCGATAAACAAAAGGTGACTATTTAAATGTTTATAAATGCAATGCTGCTGCTAAAAGAAAATAAAAAAAGAGGAAAAACAAAACATACAATAGATTGTGGCTCTCTGTAGTCGAAGAAGAAATATGTATGATAGATAATTTTATTTGAAATGAACGTTTATAGAAAGCGAAAACTAAATTGCAATGCATAATGTACATAAGGAAAGGAAAAGCTGTGAGTTTGTACCAACGATTTGATGTAAGTATACATATAGTATGTACATATGTACGTCAGTATAACATATATATATCTATATATAGGCATAATCAATGGAATTTTGTACACTTAGATATAGAAATAACTGACGAGCCCAACAAGCCAGGCTGTTGTTAAGTATGCTAAACTTAAGCTAATTGATTTAAAATTAGTTAAACACCAGAATGCGTACATATGGCATGTGATATCTGGTCGCGAGCACTGATTGTTCAGATTCAGATGATCTGTGCGTTGACACGCGGCTTCTCAATGAGGCTGTTCTGTGCCTCCTTGTCCTTCTCCAAGTGCCTACCCAGCGCCTGGTGATCCGCCTTCGTATAATAGAACGGCGACTCCAAATGCAGATACTGTTCGGAGGCCAATTTCTTGCGGCGTTCGCGCAAAAAATGCAAACGCACATAGTTGATGGGCAGATGGACGCACTCGGCACCGGAGCCCTCGGCATCGATGAAGACGCCGCGCACCAATATTGAGTTGGAGCACTTGAGGGCGGCCAGCACCAGGAACGGTATGATGTGGGTTATCCAGAAGCTCATCAGCCGATCGTCTAGAACAAACAGATGCTTGTCGGTTCGGGCAGGGCAATATCTTGTTGTTAACTTACCGGGAAACACATAAACGTCAAGCAGATTCCAGATGCCGCGCCAGGCATTAACGGCACCGAAAAAAGTCATCAGATAGTAAATATCGCAAATGATCAGCTTGAGGATTCCGCTGATGCGCCGGCAAACGTAGCGCATGAGGGGCTGTATGACAAAGGTCACGAATACCGTCAGGTAACCAATTAGCTGTGCGGATTGAGCATTATCTAAGTGTGTTGGATTAGCAAATACGAAGGGCTTACCAGTGAGCCCCAGGCGGACTTTGCCTTGTCCCGCGGATACAGGGTCAGGTCGAAGATGCCCCAGACACCACGCCAGGCAATCACGACCAGGCTGCCAATGACAAAAACGGAAAACAATGTGTCCAGCACGTACAGGCCGGGCTGATTGAAACCCTGCATGATATGATATCGTATACAAAGCCCAAAATTTGTACAAATATTTATTAGAGCTCAGTTCAATATTTCAAAGCAATTCAAGCCACAATTTCTGTTCTTCTTATACCCTAAGCCGATCTCAAAGCTACAAAAACTGACAACTTCTTTTCTCGTTTCTCTCTTATTTCCACAATAGAAATCTTACTTATTTTCTTAATTCTGTTTATCGCATTAGCAGATTTTTTTTCAATGGTAACTCGAAAACTATGAAAGCGAAATATAGTTTTATACATATATAATTCTCATATTTTCAAAATATTTTCCAAAATCGATTTTAAGAACTCTTCAGTTTTATGAGAGCTAAATACTTCAATCATGGTGTAGGTAGATAGAAGAAAGCTAGAAATAATTTGAAGAGAGAACGAAATTTCAAGAGATTTTTTCTCTTACCCTGCGCTGGACCTAAAGCTCGCGATTTTATACCAAATAAATGACCAAGGACCTTATGAAAGAGCAAATCGATTTCAGAGACTTTCAGAGGGCGCTCTTTAAAAATAAGTTTAAAGAAGATTCGATATATTTCAGATATATTTATGCCTCTCTGTATTGGAGTTGTGCAAATTTTTGTCGAAAACAAAAGGAAGTACAAAAAGTTTTATGAAGTATATAGGCGACTGTATGAAAAAAAAAACTAACCGAATAATAAAAGAGATCGAAATGTTTTCTAAGAGATCGATCTTGTTTCGTTTTTGAGTATGTTTCGAATATTCGAACAGAGGGAGAATTCGAATTCGAAATGTTTTCAAAGAGATCGATTTATAATTCTTGTTTTTGAGAATGTTTCAAATATTCGAAGAAAAAGAGAATTCGAATTCGAAATGTTTTCAAAGACATCGATTTATAATTCTTGTTTTTGTGAATGTTTCGAATACTCGAACAGAGGGAGAATTCGAATTGGAAATGTTTTCAAAGATAACGATTTATAATTCTTGTTTTTGAGAATGTTTCAAATATTCGAAGAAAAAGAGAATTCGAATTCGAAATGTTTTCAAAGAGATCGATTCTTGCTTTTGAGTATGTTTCGAATATTCGAAGAGAAAGAGAGTTCGAATTCGAAATGTTTTCAAAGAGATCGATTTATAATTCTTGTTATTAAGTATCTTTCGAATATTCTATTCGAATATATGTGAGACCTCGAAGCCGATATGTATGCTTTCGTCTATGCCCAGTTTTCGGATCTTTGCTAAAGCTCTCTTTGTTTGCATTGCATGTTTTTTCCCATGTTTCTATATAAAAGCTTGTGCAGAATATCTATTTACCGGTATTTTAAACATGGTGTCCACCTCAAAGTAGTCACTCTTGTGATCCATGGTGACGGTGTAGGGCGCTGCGCCCAGATTGCGCAGGGTGCGGGTGCCGACCAAGAAGAGCAACGCTATCAGAGTCACCACCGATATGATGGCCAGGGAGTCGATGCTGGTCAGCCAGTCGCAAATCATCCAGGCACCGCGCCACATGTTGACGCAGACGATGCCAAAGACGGCGGTATACAGCCTGGAGATGGCATAGTAGGTGAGTCGTCGCTTGTCGGGATGTATGTGATCCTTGAAGAAGTTCTGCGTGATGGTAAATATAAAGTGACCCAGGCCGCCGATCACAAAGGAGGCCAGTGCGGAAAAGGGCTGGCTATTGGGAAAGAGCAGCACACCCATCAGCTCCCAGGTCCCACGCCAATAGGCGATCACGCATGGCGCCACGACCAGGCAGGAGAGCAGCACGTCCAACAGTTCCAGGAGCAGCTCGTGAAGATTCCGGCGGGGCGTGTCAGGTGCATATTTCTGGCTGTGCGGCGGCGCATGTGTGCAGGTGTGTTGCATAGTTAAATGGGGCAGGGAATGCGATTGTTGATGCGTATGCAGCTGCGGCAGGTGTGTATGCTGCTCCGACGCCGACGCCGATGCCGACGCCGACGTCGCGGGCGGCTTTGTGTTGCCGCCGATGATAATTGGCGCCGGACTCGCCGCTGTGCACTTGTCCATGGTCAGCATATTGTGTGCGCCTGCTCAGTGCTCCTACTTCCGGAAAAAAGGCAAAAGTTCCTTGCGTTCCTTCGGATTGTTTGTTGTTTGATCCAGACGTCGCCCTGTGCTGCTGCTGCTTTCATCTGTTCATCTGCTCATCTGCTCATCTGTTCATCTGCGTTCTAATACTGTTTGTGCTGTGGGCTCGGGTTTGGCGAATCGCAAATACTGACATTGTGCTGATTGTTAGCTCCGGTCCACTTGTGAGAGAGAGAGAGAGATGCAGCGCTTCCTTCTTCTCCGCTTCTCTACTCGTTTTCGTTGCACTGATAATAATCCAGCACTGATAATTGTTATAGCAGTTAAATAACAGACTACGCGCTTGTCTGCCTCCAGTTGTCAATCCGGATTGTATAATCCACACAGCCACAGCCACCAGCATACGCCAGCGTGGCACCCGGTCTGGGTCTCGCTTTTTGTTCAGCCTGCACTTGGGCCTGCAAATGCAAGGAACGCCCCACCAAATGTTGGCCGTCATTAATTTCAGTTTAACTCAAATTGATTCTAACTTAATTCTTCTAGCTAAGCTCAATGCTTAATACAACATAAATTGTTTGCTGCATCAAGATCTTTTGCCTAGACTTATATGAGAGCCGTTTCACCGATATGCTATCTCTTGTGATCCCTTCAATTCCCATTTGCCATCTATTATACTTAATAAGCTTGTTAATCGTGTGTGAGCTATGTTTCCGTTTGGCTCTAATCAATATATATAGACATTCTGTTGTCAGAAATGCGCCCACTTTTGGCTAGCATAGCGCTACACTCAAGCGCTTAATATGTCCAATTTAAGACGCCGAGCAGCATGAATAGAAAAAATAAATAAAAGTGAAAATATATTCAGCTCAGCTCAACTCTGAATTGGCACTGAGACTGAGATGCGGTTTGCTGGCGGAGGTGGCGGCAAAATTTAATAACTCGCTTTCAATAAAAGAAACGAAATTTTTGGTTTGGGGCTGCGGCAATTTGGCCTCTCAGTCGTAATTTTGTGTATATTGTGTAAAAGCAAATTAAACAAAGCTAATTAGACTAGAATTGGACTGATTTGAGCAGCGCAGGATGTTTGTGATTTGCAGCTTTGCAGCGACAACGTGGCGTATGCGCAATAATTAAACATGACATTCTGCTAACGAAGGTCTGTCTAACAAATGCTAATGCAGACAGCAGCAACAAAAATGACAACAACAATGCTGCTGAGATTGGGTCAAGCGCATTCGCATTTAAATAAATCATCGTGCTGGAATTGCCAACTAAATGGAAGTCCCGCGGTGCGGCTCATTAAAGTGGCCAGAGCGCAGCAGGACTTCCTCGTTCCTCGTCATATTGGGGGTCAGCTGTTGATAATTTAGAAAATTTACAAAACCGTGGACAGAAGATGACTTCAATGTAGATCAGATAAGTTTTGCCAAGTGCTACATTGTGCTTCAATTACCTCAGCTAATTGACAAGAAACTGGCGACATTTGCGAATTCCAATTGGAATCGCCGTGATGCTGTGCTTATCAGATCAGACCCCACTCCCCACCACCCCCCCAACCTCTGCCCAGCTTCAAGCTAATTATATTTGCTTGGATACTTGCAAAGCTCTCTAATCGAATGTTTACCTTTGTTTACTGTGCTGTGGAGCTAGATTTTATAGTTTGTTTGTGAGAATCTTGATCAAACAGTTGGAAATTTGCGCACGACTTAGACACGAAAGCGAATGCTTTTATACTTTTCTTAAGTTCTGTAAATATAAAAGCGCGAAAGCATGCTTATCTTTGGATAGCCGATTATTTAATACCCTTGCACAAACTTCAAGAACTGTAGATATTTTGCATCATATCAGAACGATCAAGCTATATATATATATGATATGATGCCAGCTATATATATATGATATGGTCCGATGTTGTTAAGATTTGGCATATATATTAAAGGCAAAGATATATATATTCATAGGGCAGCTATATGATATAGTTGTCTGATCCGAGGCGGGTTCCGACTTAACTGAGGAGCTACTTAACACAAAAACAGACAGATGATCGTTGATTCATATCTAGAATATACATATGCTTCTCTTGGGTCGGGGATATCTTCTGATATACTCATTAAGTGTGCGCGCATGGGATTGCCACGACGTGCCAAACACAAGTTCGCTTCGAGGATCGCGAATTTCATGGGAAACTACAAAAACTAAATATTGGGCACATATTGGTGGTATTATGAGAATTTTGTCTATTCTACGCAGAAAGAGTTGCTTATTGTTTTCAAAATCGATAAATATCGATAAATATCGATTTTGATTTTACGCTGGAATCGATCAGTGCCTTCAGATCTCTGCTACGCGAATGAATAAGTGAAATAGGTACAGTTACGAGTATTGTAGTTATATTATTGAAATGAGACAAACAAATATACTTATTACCCTGAGGCATTCAATATGGCATATCCGTGTCCCTCTCTCTCCGTCTACTCGCCTGTCCATCTGATTGAACTTGGACTTGATATTTGAAGCAAATATCGATTTTCTATACACAAAACTAGTAGCTTTTAGTCGATTTTTCGATTTTTCGAAAATTGGTTATATAAAGAGGTTCAGGGTATCCCCAAGTCGGGCATGCCCGACTAGAACAGTCTACAATTTTGGAGTAGAGCCTTTTAATTTAATTTGATTTAATGTTAATCGGACAACAAACATAGACGTTATTCCACAATCAATTTTTAAAGGTGTCACACAGGTAGAAAGCCACCTTAAAAAAAGTAGCTAATTAGATGAAATTCCATTTATTTCCTATGTAAAATTTAATCCAATTTTTCGACAATTGAGAAATTTGTAAAATATGTTAAATCGATTTTCACTAACTATATATACTGGAAAATTCCTTTCGGTCTGTCAGGACAAACATTTCAAAGAAGAAGAAAACATACATAGATGTATATATACCTAGACTCTTATCAGCTGTGGCTATTCAGGCTGAGTTTGAAAGATCGCTATCTTATCAAGCCCAAACTTTTAATCGCCAATTGTTATCAAACGATAAATTTACAATCCGGAATAAAGATAATGCGTACAATCAAATATGTGTATACAAAGAAATTACGCATAATCATTTGAATATGTACATGAAAAAAACAAAAAAAAAACAAAAAAAAAACAAAAAGTAACAGCATTCCCAATTGTTTACCGTTTCAAATTAGCATTAGTTTTGCTGTGATGGCGTCTCCGGCGACTGCAATTGTGGGTGCGTGAGCGAGAGAGTGCGAATGTGTGAGAGAGCGCGAGCGCAACGGAGAGGAGCTTAGGCACAAACACATGCACATATGTGTGCGCACATGCACATGTATGTGTACATTATAATTGTACGCACTGATTGAAGCGCACGTGTAATTGGCAGAGTTTTTTCGATATGTTTTACGCGAAGATGCAATTTGAAATGATGGGCACCGGAAGTGAGTGTTACTACACCTGTACACCTGCACACCTGTACACCTGTACAGCTGATCGCGAGCAAGACTTTGACCGTTATCGAAGGAGTTTGTTGTTTGAATGAACGAACGCGACTTTAGGCGCTTCTATATGTATTTATGGAAATAGCTTAGTCGCCGCGGCGAGCACACGTAAACACAGTAAATACACACACACACACACACGCACAAATGCAATCTAGTTTATTTGTACGGTTGTTTGAACTTCGAGATATATTTTGCGCGGCGCGAGAGCTTATGGCACTTGGAAGCTACAGCATCCAGCGCGGAGGTCACTTTGCTCAACCGTCAATGGCAGCAAAAACTGAACTGTGTCCGAACTGAGTTTCGCATTTGAACTGAGCTGAGCTGAACTGAACTGGGCTGAGCTGAGCTGGGCTAGGGTCGTCAGCCGCGCGTCGTCCGTGTCGTCCGCAGATTCACACTCGTGCCCGTCCATATTGCTCTGCGGTCGAGCCGCACACACACGAGCTAGCTTATCAAAACCGTACGTAGAGTCCGACGCGGTGCGGCGCGTCGCGTTAGGCATATGTTTTTTGGATAAACCGTTTGGCCGAACGCAATCTCTCAGTTCGCGCTCGGCTCAGCCTAAAGCGCGCTCGTTCCCGTTCTTCAAACTCGGATATCATATCTATTTGATTGATTCTTGTCCGATCTTATCACTTATAATACGCGGCATTCGCTGGGATTGCAAATTGATAGATTGTTGAAAATGATATGATCTGATAGTGTCAGACATGCGGCATATGTATGTATGTACGTATACTCCATGGGCTGGAAGATTCCGACATACAGCACAAAATGTATCTTTTGTTCTTCAACAACCCTTGGAGTATTTTGCAATCATTTTCAACATTTTTGTCAAATTTGAACTTTACACTGTTGAAATCTTTTAGATGAGATTGATTTACTTAGTTGAATTAATTAGTGCCCGTTGGTTTATTTGGTATAGATATTAAATGAATTCCACAATCATTGAAAATAAAGCGTGTGCAAATAAAGATATGCTAAAACTCGATCCTAAGATGAAAATCACACCCTGCCAAGTTGTGACTGTGATTGTGTGCTGTATCACTTTACGCAAAACAAGGGGCTAATCAAATTTTAAATTTATTTGCAGTTAATAAGCTAATAGGAACACGGCTCGTACTATGCACGCTATGAATATTCATTTGAATGTGAATGTGAATTTGAAACTAGAACTGGCGACCAGCTTCTTTTGATACCCTGAACCCATTGAAAATGGGTAAAAAGGGTATATTGTATTTGTGCAAAATCCGAATGTATGTAACAGGTAGAAGGAAGCATTTCCGAACCCATAAAGTATATATATTCTTGATCAGCATCAATCGCCGACTCGATCTGCCCGTCTGTCTGTCTGTCCGTCTGTCCGTATGTATGAAGGATCTCAGAACCTATAAGAGCTAGATACTTGAAATTTTAGATGTAGGTGCTCCTAGTGCCTGCGCACGTAATCGATAACTTACTTCGTTTCCAAGCAATCGATAAAAATCGATATCGATATCCTGTTTTTTGGGCAATTTTGGTAAATAATAAGAGCTAGCTTCTAAAATAGAATATATATATGCATTGGATGTTAGAAGAAGCGGGTTCAGGGTATCCCCTAGTCGGGAGCCTCCGACTAGAACCTCTTACTTGTTTTTTTTTATAACACAGGCCAGTAATTTATGCCATTCGTTAGAGATAAGAACGAATTGTAATACTATGAAAATCTTAAATTCAGTCAGCAAATGTGAAAGTTAATGTAAATCGAATTCATAGTGGAATCGCTCCCATCGTTGTCAAACAACAAATACATTAGCTTACATAAGGAACTCAGGTTCCTGAGTTACAGCAAAATATATGTATATATATTTAAATAAATAATTAGAGTTGCTTTAGGCCTCATTAATGAGTAAATCGCGTACAAAAACTAATAATTATATTTGTTATTAGACTGCTCAAAGCAACCGCAAAATTGAACATTTCACATTTAACGTATCAGAAAACCGTATAAATGGACTTAAATGCGTGGATAGGTATTCAATATGCGTGCGACACAGCGAAACTGACCTAGCATAAGATTATTTAATTAAACTAATTTTTATTTATGGCTGCCGTTTGTTATATTATGCGATATTCAAATTCCACCTGACACACATTTTCTTGTTAGGTCGCAGACAACTTATGCACATGCCACATATTGAATATATCATTGATATTAAAATTACCGTAAGCCATTTAACTAATTGATGGTTTTTTTTTTTGTAAATTACCTAGCCTATTATTAGTAATAAATGTGGGACACAAACTGTATACATACAACAATCAACTGATTCAAGTCGAACGAGCGGTTATCATTAACTAACAAATTTTGACAAAAATTGCCTCTAAGCTAACCAGCTGCCGGCTGTGCCGCTGCCGGCTTATCAGCGATGATAAGGTTAAGTGTATTTCTCTAGCGATCTTAACTCATGTATGCTGCTGCTGCTTACAGTCAGACATCGACACATCTATATGGTACATGTTTCTACAACGCGCCGATCTGACATGCGCGAAAACAAGAAAACGCTTCCCAATAGGAATACAAAAAAATAAATAAAAAAAACCCGGGTTATAAATCGCGGGCATTGGCTTATAATCAATTTCTTATCAGTTTTTAGAGCAGAGCAGAGAAGCAGCAAACGTCTGCTAAGCTTTTTTTCTTTTTGCACCCATAGGTACCCTATAAAATGTTTATAAGTCAGCAGGTTATGCAAATGTGTGTAGGTATAAAGCGACATGTTACACTTTATAAAGCATATACTCTATGCAAACATTCTATCTCTTTATATAAAACTGTTTGTCCTGTCTGACTGACTGATTGCTGAACAACGCACAACCTAAGCCGTAAGAGCTAGGAAGCTGAAATTTTTACTGGACCTTGGTGGAAAGGGGGGTCAAGGATTTGGTGACGTTTCGCGCTCAATTTCATTTCCAAAGATCTATACGAAAACTCATACTCTTCGCAGAATTCAAGCATCCTCGGTAGAAATTCAATTCAACGATTTGTTGGGCTTAGTTTTAAGTTTGCATATGTATGTCTGTCTGTATGCATGTATGCATGTTTGTTTTGCATATACGCACGCATGCGAGCATGCGCACATGTATGAATACATGCATGCGCACATGTATGAATACATGCATGCGCACATGTATGAATACATGCATACGCACAGCTGAAATTTTCACTGTACCTTGGTTGAAATGGGGGTCGAGGATTTGGTGACGTTTTTCATTTCCAAGGATCTATACGAAAAATCATTTCGGAGTGTTTCACACTCTTCGCAGCATCCAAGCATCCTCGTTAGAAATTCGATTCAACGATTTGTTGGGCTTAGTTTTAAGATTGCATATGTATATCTAATTGTATGCATGTTTGTTTTGCATATATGCAAGCATGCGTGCATGCGTACATGTCTGAATACATGCTACATACGCACATGTATGAATACATGCGTGCATGCGCTCATGTAGAGCCTACTTGAGAATCGAGGAGTAGAGGACTGGGTAGAAACATTGAGGAAAGGTGCTAAGAAGATAAAGCTAGGATAATGAATTCTAAGGAACCCTCAAAATGAAGCCCCGATCAAATTAAAAAAACTTGCAAATAATTTGTAAGTAATCTTTATTTACTCGTTAGTATGTATGAATATATATCCTCAATAATCATGAGTGATAACTTGTAAGCATATATATATATCAATACAACAATTTTTATTTATTTTTGGAGATAAATATCGACGACTGCACATATATATAAATATATATATAAAATAGTTATATATATATATATATTTATATATAATTCGAGGAATGTGGCTCGTTACATATGAGTTTGTTCTTAAAACTACAAACTAAAACTAAAAAAGCATGTGACAAATGTGCATATAATTATAGTACACGCTTATATTTGGTTATTTGGATCTATTGCCGTTGCTGTAGTTCCCAAGGAATGCTGACACTCTCCCATGTTTACATGTGCATAAAGATTTTAGTAAAATCAACTGCCCAGAATCGCAACTCATGTGGATTAATTTTTGGACCTTTATATCCACAGGCGTTGCAAGACGGCAGTTATTACATAGACTGACTTGGTAAACTGTTGGACATGTTAAAATAATTTGAATATCTTCTTTTTAGCTTAATAGTATAAATTCATTATTAAATGTGCTAGCTTGTGCTGTAATGTAATTTGTGGTGATGCTGTGCATTTCCTTATAAAAGAAACAGAGGAAAATAGAAAATAGAGAGCTTCCATAGCTACAATATGGACTAATTAGAGCATGAGTATTATATATATATGCTAATGTGTGCGTGCCTTTCGGAATGTTGTAGTCAAGGTTGCTAGTTGAATAGTCGCTTAAGTATACTCTGAATTGTCACCAGGGACTGATTCTCTATAAGGAATGTACGATGATTGCCTTCGACAGTGTGCACTTCCACGGGCTTTATGCAAACCTTTAATGAAAGCAATCAAAAAATTAGTTATGAATTGGAATTATTATTTTTTGTTTAACGCACCTCCTTAAGGCGATAGTCCTCATCCATTTTAGCAGAGTTATCTGTGGGCTTCACCAATGTCACCTTTGACTTGAGTTTCAATTTTGGCGTATAGCCGTCGGCCAGCTCCAGCTTCTTGTAAAAGAGTTTCGCAGCCGTTTTGATCTATAGAAGAGAATGAAAAATAAAATCGGAAAGCCAATAGAAATGCAGTACTTACAGTCTCCACCGGCTGGGTTATTTCAACACTCAGGAGCTCAGCAAACTTCTCTAGTTTCTCCTCCCAGGTGGGTATCACCAATAGCAAACGGACCAGCTAAAGAACGAGATTTAAAAGAACGAGATTTATGGCATTGATTACAGCAAATGTTTAATTTGATGCTTACAGCTTTATAGTCAATATTGGCCAGCACAAGACCGAAGTAGGCCAGGCCGTAGCTTTGGTTGCTGTTGTCGTCATCGACAGTGTATCGCTGCTTGAAGCTGCTCGTGTACCAATTGACGTAGGTGGGCGCGCCATCCAACATGACAACATTGGCAATTTCGTTGGTCTCTTCCAGTATGGCGGCCATTACGTAGGTGAGCAGACAGCCAAATGAGTAGCCTGCCAGTTTGTAGGGTCCCTTTGGCTGCACCGTACGCAGCTGCTTGATGTAGAATCTCGCTGCTGCCTCTATGGAGTCTAAGGGCACGGTGCTGGTGAATTGCAAGCCGTAGGCAGGCACCTCGAGCTTCTTGGCCAACAATGCCAGCGCTGTGGCAAATCCTTCAATTGGGGCAATAAAGAATATCGGATTCTGTGTGCTATTTGCCGGTGCCTGAGTCTCCAGGCGCACAATTTCCTCTGTGGGTATCAGTGCAGTAGTGAAAACCACCTGTGTACCATCTCCCATGGGACTGGCTGTTCGCGATGGAGGCGTGGACTTGGCAGCCGGTTCACTTACAGCCGCATCAACTGAGCTCGCAGTGGGCTTCACCTCGGCACCGCCGTCCATTTCTTTGAGAGCTCCAAAAGTTAGTTGCCGAATCTCCTGCGTCGATAGAACAATATCAAAGTTGCGCTCCAGTGTTTGCTTGATTTCCGCTCCCATTAGGGAGTCCATGCCCAAATCGGCTAGAGAAGAGGCGTCTTGAATGTTTTTGGTGTCACGCAGTCCCAAGATATTCGATATGGTTGAAATAAGGCTAACACCCGCGGACTGATCCGACTTGCGCTTCTCGGCCACCACCATGGACGCCAATACGGGATGTGGCTGCTGCAGGAATATGTCGATGGTCTGCAGACAGGACGGCATGCGCTGCGGCAGTGTACCTCCAATAACAGTATCGTTATCGCCGAGATTCTCTAGCACCAAGCCAGTGTCGCCAATGGCGCCCCATTGTATGGCTGTGCCGGGGAATCCGCTAACTTGGCGTTGTTCGCAAATGCGCTCCATGGCGGAGTTCGCCAGGCCGTAGTTAGTTTGTCCAATGTTGCCGCGACCGCATGAGACGCTCGAAAAGCAAATGAAGTAGTCGAGCTCTGTGCAAATGGTGCGCGAATATTGGTCCAAGAATTTTGTGGCTGTCACCTTGGGATCCGCAACGGTCTTAAAGTCCTTGGCTGTCTGATCCTCAATCAGCGCATCCCGCAGCACGGCAGCCAAATTAAATATACCTCCAACCAGTGCCAATTTGTTGCTGCTTTCCAGCAATTTCTTGGCTCCCGCAGCCGTAGTCACATCGTTAGTATCTATTACCACTTTAACGCCGCGCTCCTCCCAGCGACGTATCATAAGTCCCTGATAGCCGGTCTTAACGCCCGAGCGCGAGGTGAGCACAATATAGCGTGCTCCTCGTGTAACCAGCCAGTTGGTTAGCTCCAAGCCAAAACCGCCTAGGCCACCAACAAGTATATAGCTCTTTTCCGGATGCATGTAGGTGCGGGGAATAGCGTTGATCAGACGCGGCTTGGGCATTAGCGTCTTCTTGCCGTCCTCTTCATCGCGCACCTTAATGACCACCTTGCCGATGTGCTTGCCTGAGGCCATGAATCGGAAAGCCTGCTCCACTTGTTTGTCATTAAACACGGATGTGGGCAAAGGTACGACAGCGCCGCTTTTGATTCCCTCGGCTACGAGTGATACCACCTGGTTCTGCATTTCCTCTTCGCCCTCCATTACGCTGTCGAGCAGAATGCCATGGAACGATGTGTTCTTCAGGAAC